AAGAAAGAAAGAAAGAAAGAAAGAAAGAAAGAAAGAAAGAAAGAAAGAAAGAAAGAAAGAAAGAAAGAAAGAAAGAAAGAAAGAAAGGTCCAACTGCTATATTTGACTCAAGGGAGAATGGGGTTCTTTTTCCTTTAAGTAATTCCTTTTCCTATAAATAATTATCTGTAGTTTGGGGAGGTTCTCTTGCATGTGCTGAGAATACAGTACTAGAGGAAGATGAAGATGCTTGTATCTACTGGAGAAAGGCTGCCGTGTGGTCAAGGGGAATGAGAATGCTAGTCCTGCTCTCTTCTTATCACCCTCCAAGGGTTCCAGATGCTTGTTTGCTTTCTCTGTTCACAAAGGCTCTCCACACAAATAAGACCAATCAGGATCCTCAACTGGTAGAGAACTCCAAAGCAGCTTCATCTCCAAAAACACGTATATCAGTAAGAGCAGAACTGTCACACCTGCATAATCAGTTGCCTTGTTTTAACCACAACTATATAGATTTTGGCTACCATACAAGGAGGAGACTATTTTGTGTTATCAAGAAGAAGCTTAACATAGAACTCATCTGTTCTGCCTAGGGATTGGTGCAGAAGAGCCAAAATATAACTCTTACAGAGATCTCTATGTGAAGCAGAACCTTCTGTATGATTTCAATCTCTCCAGATTCATCTGGGTGAGCGTGCTCAGCTAATGGGGTTTTACAGTATCTACCCTGCAGAAGGGAAAATATTGTGCCTTGCATTAAAAAAATTATTTTTACAATCTGGTGAAAATTCACATGTTTCCAGCTAAATTTTGCAACCCAAACTTTCCTATATGGCGAGGACCTGTTAACCTTATTCTGATATTGCAAATTTGTTCGACCAGAACCAGGGAGATCTTTGATCAAATCTGCCCAGAGCCACGGAAGCTTATTTGGAGCCAGTTCCTTTCTTTCACTCTCTTTTTCAGCCCCAAATGCCTCACCAAGTTGCTGTTGTGGGGGAAAATGAGCAGTACTATCTGCCACCTTGAGTTGCTAGAGGAAAGAGAGATTATAAAACTAAGTAATATATTGAAAATGCATAGAACAGACAATGCTCAGTTCTGAAAGAAGTAGGCATGAATCAAGACAATCAGTTTGCCCCTTGTCAGAAAGGAATCGGTTTGTGGCCCACCAACTAAATCATCACCATGGCAAATGGCCTTACTCTTCTGAAAGTACAAATTCAGCTTATGTCTGCTGTAAAAGTGTTGGAATCTACATTTGTGATACTGTGCAATATTATTTGGCTAAATGAGAGCTTTATAACCATCACAAGCTCTTTCAACTCCTGGATTCTCACAAAGAAAAAAAGACATGGTTTTCATACTATGGAATTCTCTGTCTCTCTTGTTCCCGTGCCCTTTTATATTAACTCTTCTCTTTTTTTCTTCCCGACTCTTCCCAAGAACAGCAGATTCTCTTATATTATCTAGTGGTTTTTTTCTAATTGAAGTGGCATGTGGGGGCCTGCCTCTCTACATATGTGCTCCCACAGAGACAGATGATTTGTTCTCTAGCCATGCCCCCTCCCCAGACAATGAATAGAGAGATTGATTGACTAATTATGTGCCATCAAGTCAGTGTCGACTGTTAGCAAAAAGCTGTAAGTATTTTTTGGGACGATCTATCCTCAACCTGGTTCTTCAGATCTTACACTGTGTACCCATCACTATTGTAATTGAGACCAGACACTTTGCTGATGATCATCATCCTCTTCTTCCCTTTTCTTCTGCCTTTCTCAGCATTATAGACTTCTCTAGGGAGCTAAGTCTTCACATAATCTGTCTATAGTATGGTAATTTGAGTCTGGTCATTTGTGCTTTGAGAGAGAACTCTGGGATGATATTTTTAATAATTCATTTGTTTGTTTTCTTGGCTATCCACAGTATTCTCAGGAATTCTTTCCAACACCAAAGTTCAAAAGCATCAATTTTCTTTCTATCCTGCTTCTTCAAAATCCAACGTTTGCTTCCATCAAATCATTGACTGCACGATTCTGATCTTTAGACTGTGAACAGAGGACATCCCAAACCTGAATGAGACTTTTCAAGGTGGGACTACTTCCAGACCACAAGCGAATCTTGTTCCAAGACTGGAATGTCCCATTTCAAAGAGGCAGAATGTTTCATGATGGAACCTTTTGTGCATGCACAGACATTCCTGATGTGACCTTGCACACTGACCCACTAATGTAATCCTTGAAGCCACGATACATATTAACAGATAAAAATCCATACAATAAATAGCTCAACTTGAGTGCCAGTCTAATAAGGACTTACAGCACCTGGGATCGGAAGCCAAAAAGTATTTTCAGGTAGGCCCAGGTGAGCACACAGTACCTATTAATGCCTCTTTAAAGAATCTATGTCTTTACTGTGCAATCCCAGGAAAATAACGTTGACTCAAGGGGTTGACAGAATGCCCAGGCCTGCTCAGAAGAACCTTGTTGCATTCTGTTGGTGCCTCCTTAACTTGTATGTGTATTCTGGGGGGCCCGTATACCTACCAAGCAAACCCAGGAAAACATGAAGCTTCTTTAAGGAGGTATTGAAAGATGCAGGATGTGGCTCCTGCCCGAGATCTAAAGGGCTGCATATCCCTAACATTTAAAACAATCTTATAGATTTCATTTTTCATTAGTTGTACCTGATATGTGCCCAGTCAACACCTTCAAAAAATGGGTGACTCTTAATTTCTTCTACTCCACTGCTACCAATTCTGTTTTCAGCATCAGCACAAAATCTGGAGGAGAGGGAAGATTTTAAAAAAAGGAAAGAACAGTTATTAGCAAGGTGGTAAATGATACAAGAAACCATGGTTCCTAGCCTCCAATAATTTGCATTTAAAAATGAGTTTGATACAAAGTGGAGAAGCTATAGATCTTGCTGTCAAAGAAGACCATAGCTCTTTTTATACCTGCACCCAGCCTGAAATTCCTATTATCACAAATTCTCAGAAAAGATGCTCATATTCCTAACCTTTTCTATAGGGGGGATTAAGTAGATCTTTTCTGAAGCCTTTTCTAAATGTAAGAAATTGGGAGACAGATGGCATTTGATTAAAAGCTCAAAGAGTTGGGTGTTGACAAACAAAAAGTGGTATGACTTCTTTATAAAATCCCCCTTCAATCATCCCTTTGGAAAAAGAGTGAAGAAAATAATCATATTTGCCACACAATTAAGTTACATGGATATTTTAGTGTCGTAGAATAATAATATATATATAATACTTAATGCCATAGTAAAATATTTTGTTGGGGAAGGTTTAATAAACATTCATAGTGGAGAATATATATAATTCAGCGTTGACTTGCTGGATTCTTAGTCTCCTTGCAAATTTTCGTATGCCAGGAACAGCACTAATTATATTTCCTAGCCTGCTAATGAAACAGGAAGAAAAGCAAGCTTAGAAAACACCAAGAATCTGACAATAAACACTCAGTTCTCATTTCAATTTCATAATATGGAGGAATTTTTAAAGTCTAACTTTAATGTTCTTTCTGAAAGACTTCAGACACTGTCAGTAGTTGTTTGACATACATGCGTGATGATAAAATATTGTGCATTTATCACATAACCCAACCAGAATTAATTTAGAATTGAGACAATTTACTGAATCTTGTGCCCCCCCCCCGCCATTCAAGAAAATGGGGTATACAAAGACTGGAAAACCCATGATGTTTTGTGATCATCAGCCACATTGCTACAGCAATGAAAGAATTCTGAAATGTGGTTGTGCAGATGATTTGAAGGGCAGAGAGACCAGCTGTCATAGCTAAATGGCACTGTTTGCTTTATATTGGCCTTTCAGAGGACCCTGAAAACATGGTGGTTCTGTCATCAGGCCTATGGATCCTGTGGAAGTATGGAGCTGGTGAGATGGCTAGATTGTTCATAAGCTGTTAGTTGGTGTGTGTGTATATGCCTTCAAGTCAGTGTTGACTTCTGAAGACTGCCTGGACAAGTCCGTGCAGTTTTCTTGGCAAGATTTCAATGGTTTCCCATTGCCTGCTTCCTAGGGCTGAGCAAGAGTGACTGGCCCAAGGTCACCCGGCTGGCTTTGTGCCTGAGGTGGGACTAGAACTCACCATCTCCTGGTTTCTAGCCTGATGCCCTAACCACTACACCAAACTGGCTCATGTTGGTTGGTACTCTCCGGAATGTTATATTTTACAGTTAATGGGTAATTGTTTTTTAATTGCTTTAATTGGTGTTTTATTGGGTTTTGTTACTGTTGTTTTTTGTTATTGATTTTTATGCATTGTGTTTTTGTTTTTAACTTTATGAGCTGCCCAAAACTACCCAGGTGAGATGGGCAGCTATATAAATTGAATTAATTAATTAATTAATTTCTGGATTTAGTTCCCAACATTTTCAGTAGCTGCAGTATAGCCAGGTGGGGATTCTATGGCTATAACTTAAACCTCGCTGCCGCAACCATACAATCCTGGGAAAAGATGTCGCTGCTTTAATAAGTTGCAGGTCCCCATATGTTCTAGAGCACTTCTGGCTCCCTGCAGAGCCATAAAGGACAAAATTCTGACTCTATGCAAACTGTTATTTACTAGGCCAGTTTCCATATATTTCTGGGAATTCTGTCATCCTGTTTCCCATGCCATTCTTAGAGGTTAAGAAAATAAACAGGATGGATGTCTGCTTTAAGCAAGCTGTGAGATGGAACACAAAGGCAAATAGGAAGTACCATTTGCATAAACTCTAAACAAAAACAAAAACTCAACTCTGTAAATTTCCAACACAGAAGCATGTTCTCTTCTACACTCCAAGAAGTCATCCAACTATTTCAGTCTCCTTAGGGCAGATGACTGAAAAGAATAATCTACCAGCTACCCAATAAAAAGAGGACAAGAAAAACATGCCAGCATGACACTGTTCCTAGGCTTTGCCTAGAAGCAGTTTTTCTCAACCTTGGCAACTTTAAGGGGTGTGGATCTGAACTCCCAGAATCCCCTAGCCAGCATGTTGGCCAGGGAATTCTGGAAGTTGAAGTCCTCATATCTTAAAGTTGCCAAGATTGAAAAACACTGCTCTAGAGGGTCCACTTGGAATGTCAAGTCAGTTCTGGCACAGTTCTTGGAGAGGGGATATGTTTAAGAGATCGAAAAGATAAAAAATAAACAAATATGTTAAAAAGCAGCACTTTGGAAGGCCCCTACTCCTGTGTGACAGAAACTTAAAAAAAGCTATCTCTACTTTCCCCAGCTAAGCTTCAGGCCAAACACAGCCCAAGGTAGCCCACAGCTTTTCCACAGCACACACCAGTTTCATTACCCTCTTGTTTTTGCAGCCATTATGAAATCTGTCCTGTTACTGTCATCAACTACAATGACTAATCTTGGCATTCGTCTACACAGGACTCTTGGAACAATCTACTCCAAGTCTTGTATGCAAACAGATGACCACAAATCATGTGTTCAGCAGTGCTGGCAAACATCATTAAACCAGGGCCCCAACCAAAAAGAAAAAGGAATAGGAGACATTCAGACCTTTCCCAATCTATTTTTTTCACACCAGAAATCATAGGGTTTTTTTTACAAGTTCATATTTTCGCAGTGTTTTACTAACATCTCCTGCTCTTCTGTTATTTCTCCTAAATAACAACATCAGAATTATCTGCACTAGAACAGACCAAGTCTAGCTAAATTTATCAGAGCTGAAGGGCATAGAATTTTTCCAAGTTAAATATTTCCTCCTGAAGAAAATGTAAGTATACAACATACTGGCCACTTATTCCAAATGTAGAATTTCCTGTTGCCCTACCAGCCACTTAAAGGAGCAAGCTGTACCTTATCTCACCATTAAGTTCCAGCCTAAAGAACTTAATTTTAATGGTGATTTTGTTTCATATCCTAATTTCAGTAATAGGTTATAGTTATTGGCTTTATCTTGCTTCATATTTTACTTGGGTAGGTATCTTCTGGTATTAATCTTGCATTGCAGCAATTGACCGAATGTGGACTTCCTGACACTGTGGAGTGGGACAACTCCACATCATAGGAGTTCTTGCTCTCAACTTCATCTAGAAGCTACCAGGTTTCTGGAACAACACTTTACTGCCATGTTTCACAGAGGGATGAACAGAAGCTATGTCAGTCTTCTATGTCTCCAATTGTTAGATTATGATTGAACTGAGCTCTTAAGGAATCCTGGCCCAAAGAGACTTGAAAGCTTCTCTTGCAATAACCCACTGAATTTAAGAAGCTTTCCCAATCTTATTAAGTTAGCTTGAATCTTTGCAGTCCTCCATTTCCAGCACTGCTCCACAGTCTTCTACTGGTTATACTTTCTCTTCCTCCTCCTCTTCTCCCCACTCTTCTCTGTTCTTTCCTAACATCTGTCCCTCCTTTTTCTTTTATCCTAACCTCTACCCACTTCCCAAGATGTGATCCACAGCTTATATCGTGGAATCTAAGGCTCTAGAGCTCATTCTATCTATGGCTCTTTGCCTGCAATTTCCATTTCTTCTTCTCTCAAACCTATGCTGTCTGAACTTGCTTCCTTTCCACTGTGTTGTTGACCAAGGTAATGCTAGAAGTCTACACTTACCAGGAAGGACAGCCCTTCAGTTACCTTCCCTTCTATAAGCTAAGTTTCTGTAAAGAGTGATTTTTATCATGCAGTGGAGCAATGTTGGCAAGCCTTTCCATGATAATGGGGAAGGAAACTGGGTGATAAATGTCATACTAACAAAACCATGCATTAACAGGTTTCCTACACATGTAGGGGAAGCACATCATCTACTTACTTTAAGATTAAGTCCTTTGCTTTTTCTGAAATGGGCACCTCAGGTGGAAATACCAGAGTTTCCTTCCAATTCATAACTTTCCTGTATGTTTCTTGGGGTGTTTCAGAACAAAAAGGGGGGTATCCTGTAGAATGGTAGAAAATCAAAACTTTGAACTATATGAACAATATTAAAGTACTTGGAATACACCTTATATACAGCATCATCATATTAGTTCTGTCATGTATTTCACCATGGTTCTCCCACCAAAAATAATTTCCTTAAAAATTAAGGAGAGCCACCAAGAATCTGAGTTCTTGTCTTAAAGCAGCCAAAATGGCACCATTCTGACCCAAGAGGGACCAAAAGCCCACTTCAAGGAAGCCAAAAGTTTGCAGTAATCCAAACCAGGTTTAGAAAAACAAACAGCCACCCCCAAAAAGGTCCAATGTGCCGAGTGGGTCGGAAAACTGACTATTTTAAGGGGGTATGGAAAAATGGGAGCAAGGGAAGCTGGAGAGAGTTTCTGATCCTTCACCACATCTTTTTATTGTAGGTCCCATTTGTTCTTCTTACCTATTAGCATTTCATACATAATCACTCCCAAAGACCACCAGTCACATAATTTGTTGTAACCCGTTTGCACGAAAACCTCTGGGGCAATGTAATCTGGTGTCCCAACAGTAGAATAGGCCTGAAAAGGATATTTGAAGAGAGTGAGAGATTCAGCCAATTTTTTTTAAAAAATCCAGTGTTATTTCTTTCCAAGAAAACAGTGCAGAGTCTTCCGTCTATCATCTAGTTAGGTTTTCATGCATTCTCTGAAAATGATGGGGCTACAAAGAGGCCTTGGAGACCATGTAGGTTCCACAAAACATTTTTACATGGAAAGACTTTGCAGAACTCAACAAGCTTTCCAGGAAAATACTCACCAGCTGTCGTCTGTTCTTCTTCCACGTTTCTGCTTTTCTCTTGGAGTTCATATTCTGAAATGCTGATTCACAAAACAGATCTAGGTTAATGCTTTCCATTTTAACAGCAACGTAAAAATTCAGCTTGCTTGTGATTCTAATGCAGGACAGGAACAGTTGTTGCATGAGAGGGATGAATGACAGGGCCTTTTCTCATGCAAGCACTACAAGAAGGACACGAAAAGCTATTTTAACCATTCACCTCCCTCCCTAACTTTCCAAATGTATCACCAACATAGAATTAGAATACACTGAAAACAGCCCTGCACAAAGACTTTTGAGACAGAAGAGAAAAAGAGAGAATGCAACCTCCACAATACTGGAAATGGTGCATTCCAAACCCTCTGGAACCCCAAAATCCATGTATGTGGAATTCTTTGTCCAAAAGACATATAATGACTGACTTGGGACATCCAGCTGTGATTTTGGGATCATCTGCATATGTCAAATGGACTACACTGTACCCATGTAGACTACAGGTGAAGGATGCCATTCTGAAAATATTCTCTATATTAAGAACAAAAAGTCTTACTGCAAAAACAAACATTAAGGAACTTCATTTTGGGGATTGGAAAAAAGAAAAAAAAACAAGAAAGAAGCTTTCAAATATGAGACCATTCACTTGTAGAAATAAGTGGTATGGTATATTCTACCACTTTCCCCTATATGTAGGGTGGTAGTCCTGATTCAAACTATGATTCAGAATTTGGGGCTAGAGAAAATAAGGTTAATAGTTACTTCTAAGACTATGAATTTCATGCCTGACTTTATTATAAGCAAATATCTGAAGGTAGTTTGGGTCCTCCTTCAAAAAGAATGTTTCAACAAATGAGCCACATGTTTATATACTTAGCAAACCTAACTTGTAAATTAGAATAAACAAGGTCTTTGACAGAATGCAGAATATTTATCATAAGCTAGAATTTGCAGTACTTACAGAAGTCACTTGGTGGATTATGTGTAAGGTTTCTGTAGAATTCAGTTCGGTGAGCTTTCTTTAAACCTGTGCATAGCCCAAAATCAGAGAGTTTTACATGGCCCTACAGAAAGAAAACATTACTCATATGATTAATCCATATGACTGATGTAAATATGTGCTTCTGGAGCAATTCCCTGATTTACAGAGGTAACTAATTCAATGCCCTCTAAATGTTTTGGCCTTCAACTCTCACTCATTTTTTATTACTGGTATCGCTGCCCGGAACTGATGGAAACTGAAGTTCAAAAGCATCTGGAGGACTTTAGGTTGTTTAATCTCCCTTATTATTGATCCTTAAAGGCCACTGTCTTAGTCCCTCCTTCACTACAACAAATATGTTTCTTTAAGCCTTTTATGATCAGATCCAAAACAGATACTTCCCATTAAGAATGGACTTCAGAGCCATGAGGAGTAAATAAGTCTGGATATGTTCATGCCAGGAATTGACAGAGGCTCTGATGCTGGTGCAAGTATCATGAAGAAATTTACCTATGTGCTTTTTCACTCATCATGGAGCAGAAAATGAGCTCCAAATGTTACAAACATCAGCACTAGCAAGATACTTTTCTTCCATGGAATAGAGCAAAAAAGGATGTCCCTTCTTAATTTGCCTCTGGGCAAGCCTCCTTTGAAATCCAATGAGCAGAAATTAAAGAATATAAGCAAAGAGTAAGCCATCTTCTTGTCCTGCTCCCCTACAGTGAAAATCTTTTTCTTCCAATTTCAGACTAAACCATCTAACCCTAAACCAGCAGATTGTGCCCAGGCACAAACCCACCTTTCATCGCATTTGCACAATTGACACTCAAACAGACTGAAAGCAAATACTGATCTCTAGTTTTATGATGGTGCAATGAAAACGTGAAGGGTGATTTATTATTTACATTAAAAAATCAGCCCTTCAATGAATAGAACTTGGGGGGGAGTGTTTTTTCAACCTTTTTCAAGAAGATTTTTGTATTAATAAAAGGAGATGGGATCTCAAAGCCAACCGCAGCCCAGCTTCTTGAGCCATGGGGAGTGAGGGGGTCACAAATATGTCCTGGAACAAGGACACAAAATAGAGGAAATGTATGAACATTATATACCTTTGCATCCAGCAGAAGATTATCTGGCTTAATATCTCTGTGAATAAAACCTAGTTGGTGAATGGCATCAATAGCAAGCACAGTTTCAGATATATAAAACTGTGTCTCTTCCTCAGATAGGGTATCCTTCTTCATGAGCAAAGTCATCATATCACCTGAATCAGGGGAAAAAAGTACATAGGCTACACTTGGCTGGTTGTGATGGTGGAAAAGTCATTAAAAATGACACAAGCTCCAGTATTCCAATAATAACTATGATAACAAGGCTCTGGATCACAAAGGACACTTCACTAGGGGATAAGGAGAAAGCATTCCAGAAGGTTTACGTGGTCCACTCCATGCAAAATCCTTTGCTACCAAGCTTCTCAGTTGGTTTTCAGCCGCATAGCTGATTTGTCTTAACATTACTGTGGCACAGATTCCAAGTCAGTGCAAATAAAATGTTTCTCAACATTAAGAGATTTTTTTAAAAATGCTGCAGGATTGAGCACCTGACTATCAACACAAATTTGGCCTTGGGAGAACGGCCCAATTTTTCACTGAACTGGCATGGACTAATTATTTACCTCCTGGAAGAAATTCCATAATCAGGTAAAGGTTGCGCTTGTCCTGAAAACTATAAAACATCTTCACTACCCAGGCACCATCAGCTTCAACTAGAATATCTCTTTCTGCTCGTATATGAGCCACCTGCAATAGGAACATGGCAAATCAAATAAAAATGTCGAAGGCAAAAGACAGTTTGCCTATCAAACAAACGCGTACATAAATAGTCTTCCATGCAATGAAGACATTTATTACTATCAGAAGATGTAAGGCAGCCTTCCTTAACTCACTGGTACTCACAATACGTGGACTACAACACTCATCAGATTGGCTCCTATCCTCCTACTTGGAAAGCTGTTGATATCTGGCTATTTTGGAGAATCTGGGAGGGCATTTGTGATGATCAAACTCCTGCTCTGGGTTGGATGCTCTTGGCTGATCTTTGGAGCACCACTGTTCCATTTGACTCTTTCTCTTTCCATTATTTGGACTCTCAATGTACTATTTTGCAAGCCACTTAAAGCCTTGTTTGGATTAGAGAGACGTGTAAATGGTAGTAAACAAACAATTTTTTTCCTGCCAGAGAAAAAGGCAGCAGGAGATGTAGCAATATACAACTTTCCTGCCCAAATGGGTAGGTTCCTTTGGAGTCATTCCAGGAAAGTGAAGGACACACCAATTCTCTTGACGTTCCTGGAATTTTAGCATATAACCTTTTGCTTAAATCTCAATGTGGCTTCAGCACACTTCGTTTGGGTGTATTTATACTGCCCGTTTCTGGACTTCAAGGAAGGAAATGGGATTGTTTTGTCTCCTAAAGGGGTCCTGCTCTCTTTCTTACCCTTACTTTTGAAAAACAGGAAAAGTAAAACAACCTCCCCCAAAGGAATGAGAAATCATGCCATTGGAAATTAGCCACTTTGCTGCCAGGTTCAGATGACACGGCTTACAGAACAACAGAATGTAGTCCTTAGTTAAGAACAATACTACAAATACATTTCACTGCAAAAATATATTTCTTTTAGCCACTAGTTTGAATGCGTTTTAAAGATATACTTAGAAAAAAAGACATACTTGCTCTTTCTCCAGCATGTCAGCTTTTCGCAATATCTTCATTGCATAAATATGACCCGTATCTTTCTTCTGGACTAGGCGGACCTATGGATTTTAAAGAAGGGAGCTTTGAATCATGTACTTGCAAGTTCGAAGCACTCATTCAAAGTAAGCATGAAGCTTTCTCCTCCTGTTGTTCTCAAGCTTAAAGCAAATATTGGCATCAGAGGCCATTTTTCTATCTTTAGCTTCTAGAGATCCAGATCACCCAGATGTTTCCGTAATTCTATACCCCTGCAAGCAGCATCCATAAATGAAGTCACCTCTGAAGACAATCAGCCAACCCAAATGGAAAGGAGCAACAAAGGCACAATGCCAAGAAAGCACTGATCCTTTATTTATTTATCAATCCAATTTATATGCGTCCTCTTCATACATGGAACCTGCACACAGAAGTCCATTTGGACTGAGGTGATGGATAAATAACATAATCAATTGGAAAATAAATAAATAAGCAAACAAACACACCAAGTCTGCAGTGGTTAGTGAAGTCTACTCTGGACATATAACCCTGCCTAGAGAAGTGAAGAAATTATAGAGTGCCAGTTAGATTAAACATCAGAAATCTTGAAGGGGACATGACAAAATAAGAGATGAGGAACAACAGGAATTAACTTTGATGGGTTTTTTTCTTAAAAAAAAACACCCTTCAACATCTAAAGGGAAAAATCATGAAAAATAAAGCATTTTCTATTCATCCTCACAGGTTTGTTCTCATTCTATTCCTGCCCTCAATAACTTCATGGAGTCAGATCAGTGACCCTGCAAAGTTGTCAAGTAGATATCCAGAAAAATAATTCTTAAACCAAATATCCATATCACAAACCTCTCCAAATGCACCTCTTCCAATCACTTTCAAAGATTCAAAGTCATCAAGGCCTAGCCTTGTCCTCTTCAGCCTTAAAAATTCAGTTTCTTTGCGGGCATGCTGAGATCTTCGTAGCTTTTTCTGAGGGGAACAATTATTCGTTATATTAATATGCAGCCATAATTCCAAAAAAGAAGTGGAATGAGTAAGCTTTTCATAAGAATACTATCATATTTTTATTTCAATGGGAAGTAACTCCCTTCTTTCCTGCACAGGTGTGGTGTAGACTTAAGGATGGTTCTGAAGGCAATAAGATGGCCCCCAAGGAATATTCATTGGACTGTTAGGTGTCTTTCTCCCACATCAGAAAGACCCACCTTCTGCTAGCTAGAATCCAAGCTTCCTCTGTTTACCACAATACTGCACGCAAAAAGATACCACAGATGACACCTTGAGTGTAACACAAGAAACCTCACACAGAATGGGATAGATTAACATGATGGCTGGTGGATGATCACTTGCTTGCCCAGCAAAGCTCTTTTAAGGGGAAGATGCTCCTTCAATCTATCTCACATTATCAACAGTGCCTGATACAGCAATTCTGTAGCATTACTTTGTGGATTTTTTTTTTCAAAAAATCATTGATGACCCCCCCACACCAAAAAAAAGACATTCTTGGGCAAGATAACCCAAAAATAAACCATGGCATATCAGCTTTAACAGATCTCAGAGCTACTTCTATTCAGAACATGAAGTTCTAGAAGTACATGGTGTAAATAGTCTGGCTTTATATTCATACATAGCTATGTTTTCCATCCATTGCTTCGTGCTTTAAGTTCAGGAGAAAGAAAAGGGGAATCATTAATATCTAGAAGTTTATTCCCTGTTATAAAACCATACGCACGTGGATTTTTTTCCCCTCGTAAAGACTGTTCTGAAACAGTGCTGTTTTAAAAGACAGCTACACTTTGATTTCATTTTAAACCACAAGATGGCATCATATACTAATTTCTCTCAATACAAGGCTTCCACCTTTCACATATTCCAGTGCAAAGAGAGAGCTATCTTTTATCACATGCTATGGACAAAATGAGTCTCATCTTACATTGATATAAAGAACAAATAATAACTCATTCACAATCAAGCAAGTTCTAATGTCATGACTTAGGAAGAAATGTGATAGCATTGTGTAACAGCAATAATGAATAATTATATATGATCTGGAGGAAGTATATATATCCTTGCTCTTCTTATTTTTGAAGGGGAACTTAAGGACAATAACAGCAGTGGCAAGCATTTCGATCAGTGTATTGCTAATTTGCTTTAAAATACATCATATGCAATAAAACCAGTTTAGGACAAGCCTTTGAACAGTTTTAACTTCCTTTTGTGGAAAGATAGATTTTAAACTGGTCCAGTTGCTTTTACATTCCTCTCTACTGCTGCTATTTCAATTATTTAACTAATTACTGGCTTTTATTTCATTACACAAGCTGTATTTCAATGTTTTTAATCTGGAAGCTGCTTAACTATATTGCATGCATTAGGACACGTATAAAGTCATAACCATATCCAGCTTACTTTTATGAACTCTGACTACTGAACAGATGAGAAAAGGCAAGGACCCTGTAAGATACAGCTAAGATATTTTTACTGGTTCCCGTCACCAAAAATAAATCTTATGGGGATAGATAGATAGATTCATTCTGTGATACATGACTATAATAAAAAGCACTGCATTTGTAAAAATTCCACAAACGGGTTACTGTTATATGCACAAAAGGAGAGCCTAACTCAGTTTAGTTTGATTATCACTGTCCTATCTTGTGTATTTCTAGCAGAAAGACCGCTAAGATGTTAATCTTTTAATTTGTCTGGAAAATAGCTAGATTAAGGCTGAAACCTACAAATGCTCCTGGTAGGATACTCCATGAGAATCCCAAGTTGAAAACATGTACAAGAGCATTTGAACCTCAAATTGATGATGATGTTACCTAGTTGGGTAATGAAACATCTGCAAGCAAACCACGGAGCTCAGAGAGTCCCAAAGACTCCACAGAACTACAAATTGCATCTTCCTCTTCCTCAGTTGCCTCTGTGATGTAAATAGCAATATATATAACATGGCAAGAACAGAATCCCACAAGGATTCTCTAATGCTGACATTCCAGGGTTCTGATCCGCCTTGTAAGTTAAATGCTGGAACGAAGCAGCAAAGGAGGAAGCGATACTTAGACTTGCTAACCTTTGCTAATATTTCTTCCCAAGAAATATTCTTTCCATCTGGTTCACAAATCAGAATCATCTGTATGAAGCATAATTTCGACCACCTTGGCAACTTGGAAAAGAATCCCATCTTCTATCAATTGAATCACCCACACATCCAAGGTGTGTATCTCAAACAAGGTAGAAAGTAGAAAGCATTCGTTAAAAAAAAAAAAAAATTCAGAGGAAGTGAATGTTTTTCAAGATATTTAAAGCTTGCATTAAATGACATTGTAATTTATATTTTACAATGTAAAATGTGTTGATGATTAAACCAGGTTGCCTATTTCATAGATCAATGCAAATGTGTTTCTAGTGATACATTTATTAAGTAAATGCCAAGTAAACGAAGCAGTATATATAGAAATATGAGGAAGCAATATTCCCTCTAAATGTTAGAGTCCAAATGACGGAAATGTTCTAACCCTTACCTAAAATAGTGGTAAGGAGCCCTTACCACTATTTTACTTACTAAAACTCCCTACAAAGTATTTATTACACTGCAGTTCCTTTAACAGGAGCCATGTGTATATATGTGAAAATGTTCTGAATTTTCTTCTGCTATTCCTTTCTCCCATTTACTGCTTACCTCCATTGGCTTTTTCTGGCCAACGTTATTAAAACAAACACACACAAAAGTTGCCTGCAATCTATGAATCACTAAGCACCAATCCCAACCAATAAAGCTCTATAAACTTTCAGCTTCGTGAGCATCCATATTACCTCTTCATCTGCTAAACCTTCTTCCTCCATGGCTACTTCTAGTTTCTTCTGCCTAAGTTGGGGATACACAAAAAACATATTATGAAACAACCTGCGTTTTAGAATAGAAAAAGACTGTCATTGCACCTCAAAACACATCAGTAAGAGGACCTGGGTCCAAAGTGTGAGTTTGGTTTAACACTAGTTAAGTCAATAATTCTGGAGATCACTACGTAAGTGAAGAGGGTTAGGGTCTCTCTCATTCCCAAATTCTACCGCTATTACATTATTCAAGTTCTCATCCAGGTATCTTTATTGCTGCTTGAGACAGGGGAAAGTAAAATGCTTTATATATATACAACCTGGCAAAACTTTCTGACGTATACTCCCTCAGTTTCCCGAGAAGAAACCAAGAGAATGGGAACAGATGCGTTGCAGGATTCAAGCATCACATCACCTCATGGTTCACATCACCATTGAAGGAACACAACTGGCTGTGTCTATCCAACAACCAAAGCCAAACACATCATATTATAGCTTAGTGCAATGTCCAAACCCAGGCATTATAGTTTGTACAGTATAGTTCATGGTGAAGCATATCTATCATACCAACCATTTAGTTTAGCATGATATATGAGGCCAGAGAAAAATGGAGGGTTTCTTCTATGTCTCACCTTAGTTTTCTTCCAAATTTATTCTGAAGTATTTGCAAAACATTTTACCTGGTTAACTTTTCTTGCTTTCAGCAATAAAAAGGGGCAAGCTATCTAAAGAAGTAGACCAGTTGCTAACAAGAGATGTCTTCAAACTATTTTTTCTATGAGATATTTATTTATTTCTGTATTTATAGAGCTGCCATAACTTGTAATTAAAGATCCCAGATAGCTTGCAAATACAAATACAGAAGAAACAATGAAAAACATAATTGCATCCCAAATAGAAAGTTGCCATCACCTGGCAAGTCGGGAGATTTTTAAAAAACCTAGGGGAAGAACAATCACTAAAAAGTCCATCAAGAAGGTATCAGGTGAGCCTCACAGGCCATCTCCATCTTGGACATTTGTGCGGAGGAGTTCTCAAAACACAAGTCTCAGAAGATCTTAAAGATCAGGTAGATAAATAGAGGAGAGGAAAGTCCTTCTCAGTTTCAAATAACAAAACTGGCATTTGGAACCAGTAGTTAATCATGAGATAACACAACTGACTGGATATGTTAACAGTCTATCCTGGATCAATTGCAGCTTCCAACTAATTTTTGAAGGCAACTCTTCATAAAAAATACATCGTATAAGTCTAAACTGGTGATTGCCAAGGCGTAGGTAACTGTGGCTAAGTTATCTCCACCCAGGTAAGGTTCCAGTTGGCAAACAATGTGTACGATATGCTTTGTCAACAGGGTTGTTTGCAGAGTTACAGCTGTAGTGCCCAAGAAAAATCTGCTTGGCTCTTCGGATTGTAACATTTACTCTTTTATTATTCTGTCGATCGTATACATGATTCTCAGCAATTAAAAAAAAAACTGTAAGGATTCTTCCCTTTTTGCTGCTTAAGTAAAGTCTCTTTTGAGTTGAATTTGTCTCCTTGTAACTTCACAGACCCATCCACGTAGTTTTCTTGGCAACAATATGAAAATGGTTCATCTTTGGAGATTTCTCCCCCCCTCCCAATTTTCTGATGGTCTACTGTCCAGGTACTAACCAAGTCTAACCCAATTTATTTATTCATTAGATGTATACCCCACCCTTCTTCCAGTACTCCCTCCTCCCATTTCTCCCCACAACAAGCCTGTCAGGCAAATTAAACTAAGAAAGAATGGCCCAAAGTCACTCAGTGAACTTCTGTGGCTGAGGTCTCCTCAGAAGAACCTGGGTCTCTCAAGCTCCTGTCCAACTTCTCAGCCACTATAACATACTTAGCCAAGGTGCTGTCTTTTAGGTGCTACCTAATTTAGTGTTGAGTTTAATTTCTGGGTTTCAGCTTTTCACATTCTGATGTTGGATGTTCTGTTTTATTAGCCACCTGGGGTACTTTCCCAAGGAAAAAGCTGAGGTACAAATAAAGAAATGTTTGCTCAGAAATACATTCCATGGGCATTCCAGAGGACTTCCTTCCAAGTAAGGGTGCAGCCTAAGGAAGCTTTGGGTTGCCTCCATCTATGTGGACATCTCCAGACAAATCAATTTGGTTTACAGACAGGCAGCTCTTGTTCCAAGCAAAGGCTCTCTCCAACAGCAGAATTCCATGCAATTTATAAACCTCACCAAAGGTTTGATATTAAAGCAGAAGGGGACCCCAAGTACCTGGTTTCTCTTTCTTCATGCTGTAAGATGAGGTTACTATAAAAGTTCTCCAGTGTAAGCTTGGCCACTGTGACACGCTCTCGGGTGTGGTTGCTCATGGGAAAAGACGTTGGAGTCCCTGCAGTCATTGCCATAGCAACGTGCACTGAAACAGAGTCCATAAAATAATAATTACTCAATGAAATAAAAATTGCTCCTTGTCTCCCCCCCCAATCAAACAGAAACCCATTATGGGAATACAGAGTTTCTTCCAATATGAATTTTTGGCAAGGTGGGATGTTCTACCACTCACACACCTATAAACATCTGAAGGGAAGAAACCCAGCCTGAATCATGCAAGAAGCAATGTTCTTTCACTCAAGGAATTTGTGTTAATGTTTTCAGCCTGGGCTCCAAACTGCGGCAGCCTAGGTGTCCTGCAGAAAAATGCAGAAAGAAATGAAAGCAAATGGACAATCACGAGGTATTTAGTAGGTTGCTATTTACAACCTACGTAGGTTGTAAAAAATAACAGCTGTGAAGGAAAAAGGAAAAAAATGCCCACTTCCAGGTTGCCAGCGGTATGAGCAAGAAATTGGCCAATCTGAAACTTAACGTATGTCCTCCAAAAGAAGAGTTTATGCTCATCTGAGTGAAATCCAAGTCAGTGCAAACTTCAAGGCAGATATGAAAGAAATTAGGGCACATCAGTATGGCTTGAAACACATCCACGCGCATAGGAGCTTCTTGAATGCCTTATTCAGTATTAAATATATCTAACGATGCCCTCAAGTCAAGCTTGACTTCTGGGAATTTCATGGACACACACCCTGTATTTCTCTGGGCAGCAATACAGAAGTGTTTTGCCATTGCCTTCTTCCACAAAGTTTATTCAACTTCTCAATCTAGTCTACCTTCCTGGAATTCCCCGGTTGTCTCCTGTCCAAGAACTAAGCATGCCCAACCCTGCTTGGCTTCCAAGATCAGCCAAGGGATTGAGATGGTGTTGAGATACTATCTAGAGCACAGCAACTAAAAAGCTGGCACCACAACTATGTGGTACAGAAGAAATGGAAAACCTAGAGAAATGAGGATTACAATAAACATCACTCTCTTCCTTGGCTCAATCGCCTCCTTTCCCAGCTGGTTTTGACTTGTTGCTGGCCAGTAAATAGATCTGAGTGCCATAAACAGAGTCGTCTGGAATTTTTTATCTTGAAACAGAAACAGAGGGGGATGTTCTGCCCCAAAATAGGCCTTTTAGGTGTCTGGCCAATAAAAGTGTCCTGAATATAATAGCCTTGTATTTAAACACTGGCTGAGAAGCCACAGCTGAGAAGTAATGGCATACAAATAGATTAACAGCCTCATGGAGGAGCGAGCACGCGACCAAAATAGTTTGCCAAAACGGGAAACTCTTGTTTTGCACGCAGCATAGAAAAGTCACTGGAGGAATACAATCCTCTGTTCTCTCTGTCAGCCCTAGCTGGCTTAGGAATGACACACACACACACACACACACATATCCCGGTCAAGTTTGCAGAGAGGAGACCATCTACAAAACTGAGGTTGAAAATGTTTCCCAACTTTATTTCAGAAAAATGGAAAGCATAATCTTGAATGAATCTTCGACTGTTTAATAGCTCCCTGTAAGGGATGGAATTTCACAAACAAGGTCCTGTTCTTATTTCCAGGGAAAAGTCTAAGAGGAAGCATCTGCAGAAACATGACTCACATCTTAATTCATAAGAGAGAAAGAGTTACATAAGGAGATAGCATATCCTGGAGAAAGGCAATTTAGGGCTTTGAAAGCTTGTTCCTTAGGCAAACTTCCTGGATCCCAATTCTCCCTTCTGAGAAGTGTTAGAAATATAAATTGTGATCTTCCTCCGAGAAAAAGAGCAGAAGGCTAATCAAAAGTACGTATGTTACCAAAGATGACACATAGAGAAAGCCTATTTGTCTATCATAAGGCAAGATCTGTTCTCTCTAGGCAATAGACAAGAAGAGGACAACTCTTTCTTAACAGCAGGACATAAAACCACCACCTCTTGAGTGCTGCTAAGACAATTTTGCCTATATTAAAGTTAAAAAGTGGTAACAACACAATCTCACCCCTGAACTGATTTTGCTGGAAGACTGCAAAGTATTGAGAATCTCATTAATCTGGGATAGAGCCCAAGAAGGAAAAAGAAAATAAATAATTACTCATTGGATGTTCAGTTTTCCACAGGTTCAATAAAAGATGTGGAACTCAGTGTTCTCCAAAGGTTTTGGACCAGAGATCATCATGACTAAGGGGCAACAGACTGTGGGAATGATACACCAAAACATTTGAAGGTGCCTCCCTGCTCATGGCTACCTTCTACCGGTTCAAAGGCAGCACAGTTTCTGTGATCCTGCTAACGTTACATTTTGTACACTAGGGACACTAACTCAATGCTAAAAACAGAGGTTACAAAAAAGGAGATTACATTACAAAGTACCATTCATCCTGATGTACGTTACCAATGAACTGATCAGCTATAGTGGCAGAGTTTGTCAGTATTAAAATTTTGCTACTGCTAGAAAAATGCTGCCAACAGAAACATTTGCCAGAATTCTACCTTCTCACACAGCCATCTACCACTGCATATGTTCCAAATTCACAGGTTGTGCTTTCTAAAGGAAAGAGACAACATAGCTCTCTATTCAAAATTACTGTTTGGGTTTTCCATCTGCTGTCT